GATTTTAAATCATCTCACATGATCAAGCTTCTAAGACACCTCCATATCATTGCTGAAGCAAAAAATAGAAAAGAAGGAAGCTATTTTTTTCCCTGTGCTTTACAATCTTGTAAAAAGCTCAATCCTGCCCCAACAGAAATACAACCGCTTCTCATAGCATGGGAGATTCAAAATGGTGGCACAAAAACTCTAGCCATCCCACAAGGATTATTTCCTTTAACCATTGTACACCTTTTAGAGAAAAAGAATATTGTACAATTTGCTCCTGATCCAGATTCAGATGATGAAACAGAATTCTATAGATATCATGATGCCATGTCACTCCGGGTTTTCAACGAAGAGTATACCATTGATATCATCAATCGCTATACGCATATCGAAATACGTTTTTACGATTGCAAAGAATTTTGTCCACAAATTCGAGAATTAGTTATGGATGCTATCAAAAAAAGTAACAATGATCTCAAAGTTGGTAAAAACCATATCTTTGCATTCAAGTGCCCCAGAAAAAATAAACGATGTTACTGCATTGTCAAAGAAGATTTGTCTTCAACCAGATGTACTCAATGTCGATCACACTGTAAAGTATTACAAGGTGATGATAACAGCTACAGGTGCTGGTTTAGTGATTGTCAATCATCCAGTCCAGGTTAGTAATGCACAATGAAGAGTATTCTGATGGAGTACCACCATTGATGTATTGGCATTACTTTTAATTTATTCAAAATTTTAATATTACATTTCTTAGGAACCAAAGCATCATTAGAAGATCCACCTACTAAAAAACGTAGATTAAAATTAAGTAAATAAATTAATAATAAATAGCATACTTTAATCTGATACAATTTAGGTGCTTCTGACCGGTTTAGAAATGTTTCTGATAGACTTGCAGGTGTCATATTATCTTGTCTGATTGCAGTATCAGGGAAACTTAATGCTAAAAAACTGATAACACAGGGGCTACATGATGAAATGATTACTGGTCATGATATTGACTCAAAAAAAGCTGCCAAGCTAGTACTTGTAATACAGACTACTCTTGATGCCCAGCCTAATCCTGAAGCATATCTAAATGACGTGTGCTCAGCATTGAAAGAACTTGGAGAGAAACAAATCACTGATATAGTGAATGAATTGGAACGTAAGTTAAACTAATTTTATTAGTAACTGACATTTTATGATACCATTATAGAGAGTAAAACAGATTGATCTTGCTAACATTATCAACTGCACCATCAAATAACTTATTAGTTCTTGTGTGCTTTGAATTTGACTTAAATACATTGTTTGTGTGATTTTTCTTATATGCCTGTTTATTTCAAAAA